AGAGGTGTCCTCATTTCAGAGGTACTTTTGTATAGGCTTGTACCAATTGTGACATTTCAAAATATCCTCATTATAAAGGTACATCCTGTCCATTGCAATGAATATCATTAGTGCCAACCCACGATAGCCTTGTGAAGTTTTATGCATTTATAAACAGCTCCTTCTGTTGGAGCTAAATATAAAATTACACGCTTGATAAAAGCCATTTTTTGGATGGGCATAGGGCTACGATCCCTTGGCCCTTTACAAATTTTTAATTCAGTGAAAATAATGATCTCCATCAATGATTGCAAAGCAGCTTCTCTATAGTGTACACCTCCATTTAATGAACAGCACCTGTGTACCAATTGTATACATTCTTTAATGATTTTGTGTGAAATATTTAAGATCTTCCATTAAAGAGACGCAGGAATATTAATAGTATAATATGTCACATGACACAATTATTAATAATTATAATCAGTCACTATGTAGCAGCTGGTTTGGCCGGTCGCTGCTGCTGCCTCTGTAGTTTCCTCTGTCGAGTGGCAATCCGAATAGACTTGATCTTTTGTTTTGAAAGAGGCTGGCTCCCCTCCTTGAAGCCATTGAGGAACCTTCTGTGGACGATCTTTAGGTATCGCATACGACCAGTGCCTGTGGTGTTCCGCCTCTTGGCTTTTTCACTCCAATTAACTGAGGGGGTGGGAGGGAGGGGGGGAGAGAGAGAGAGAGAGAGAGAGAGAAAGAGATAACATGGCAACATATATACAATAGTTAATAGTAGAAACAAAAAAGGCAATAATACAGCTAAAATAATAAAACTTGAAACACACACAAGGTAGACATATTTAAAAATACTGAGCCCCTCCCACTCACATCTCCTCTTTCTCTTGGCGGGGTAACCACACCCAGCACACCTCTTCTTCTGTATGTGGTAGGATTTGCGGCCACACCTTCGGCAGAGGGTGTGGGTCTTGTCGTTTCTTTTACCAAAACTTGAGGTACCCTTAGTCTAAAAATAGTAACAAACCAATCGTCAATAAAAGGATTTAAATATAAATAATTTTTTAAAACTTGCTATTAATATAGCATTAAAATAAATTAACATACCCATTGCACTACCATACAACATACAAGGTACAATGGCAGAAATAATAAATAAAATTAATAATAATATATTAAAAAGCAGGCTCCAGTAGCAATATTTATCATTAATTATATTAACATACAATGAAATACATCTAAAATACATCATGCAATATAAGATATTCTCTTTCTATCGATGGATAGCATAAGATAAAGAATTACAGTCACTAGCACTCACCATGTTGAAACAGGTCCTCTACAGGGAAGGGAGGAGCCTGGGAGGCTCTACTGCGCATGCGTAGTTCCTGTGAGGCGGGCAATTCAGATACAACAT